GGCACTTTTTTGCAATCCATATCAAAAGCCCGAGTGAACTAAACTCCAACAATAATTTCATTTCGTTCATCCATGAAAGTAGCATTAAATTGAGTCATCCTTTTTAACAAACAAATGAAAATAAAATAAAAACCATTAAAATCCACAATCGCCCATTACGAAGACTCCAAACAGTACAATTTATATATTATATATTACATTGTAATGAAACCTGATAAATTATTAACCAACTATACAAGTTACCATAATATGATAATTTTAATAGAAATTTTTAATGTATAACGTTCATAAAAATAAAATTATAATATTAAACAATCTTTATAAAAAATTAAAAGTATACCATCATACCTGAGGGAAGGTTGCTGAACTAAGGTTTTTCTGATAGAATGAAAAGAAACTTTCTCAAATCCGTAACCATCTCTAGTAATCCTGGCAGGGAATCCTATTCTCTTTCTGTTGTAGAGATTCCAAATCAGAGTTCTTTCCTGACTTGGATCATCCCAAGTGTACAAAACGGATTGGTAAGGGTTTAAGAGAGTGACTTGGCTTTGAGATCTAAACAAGATATTTTTTTTTTTAATTTTAATAATGCATGCATAAATATTTCTAAAGGTAATATAAAGAATGGTACAAAAGCCTCTCCTTCATTAAAATGTTTTTTATAAAATCAAACAATTGACGCATAAAAGTTTGGATTGAGCTAAACAACTTCCCACACTGAGTTTTTTTTATGTGAAAACAACTATAAAACAGGTTCGTATGAGTAGCTTTTTTTTTTTTTTTTTAAAGAAAAACGCAATCAATGGTTAAATTTTTTAATTGAGTATTTGTTTTATAAAAATTTGTATCGCACAAAACATTTAAGTCCAAAAAGTCCTTTCGTATTAAATAACTTTATTTCTATATTAAATTTAAAACTTATCAAAGATTTGCATTTCCATTGAATTTATTACAATATGGACCAACAATATACTTTGAAAATTTCCAGTAAAATAACTATCACAAGATTAGATAAAAATTTTCTAGACATACATCTATATAATATTATTAAATTTGCATAAATAGGAAAGCATCCTTACTTTTGGTTTATTTTGAGGAATAGATCTTCACAATAATTGTCCACCCGAACAGGAGCGTCTCCAGGCACGTAAGAATGGAAAGCGATTGTCGTCGGAAAGTCTTCTCCGTTTTTAACAACCACCTTTAAACCACTCTGCAAAATATTACGTTAAATAGCCAAGAATTATATGATAAAGGATAAATTAGATGATCATTGTATGAATGATTTAATTAATTAAACAAACATAAATGCGTACATTAAAAAAAAGGGTCTACATGTACTACTGTGTCCAAAAAGTAAGAACAATTTTCAATTTAAAATTCCCGGGGCTCAAGAGATAAAAAAGATGTTTAAAAGAGGTTTTGGACCTATTAAGCGTCAAATCTCAATTGGTACCGAAAACACTGAATGCGCCATCTCACACTGCATTGATTTTTCGTGACTTTTTCGCAAAAAATGAAACCCATATCGTTCCACAGCCACCGTATTCACAGCGTTCGACTTATGGCTATTCCCTAAACTCAAAAGAGCACTCCGGGGACACCGTTTTAAGTCGATTGAAGAGATTCAACGTGAATCGCCGCACGCTATGAAGGCCATCTCTGCCGATGACTTTTTAGCAGGCATTGAGGATTGAAAAAAAAGCTGGCATAAGTGCATTGTGTCTGAAGGGGATTACCTTGAAGGAGATGAAATAAATTTCAAAGAATAAATAAAGAGTTTTTGAAAAAAAAAATTGATCTTAATTTGGAGCCCATTAGTATGCTTAAATATCGTTTAAAACGTAATTTTATTGTAATAAATTACGAAGTAAATAGGATAGATTCACCTACCCCGTGCTCCATCCTGAGAATTGTAACATGCGAGAAATCGATAGGGAAATGTTGAGATACTGTTTTGCTGTCTCGAAGCTTCACAAACATTTTTAAAGAAGACGTGTCTGGCCAAAATGGAAGGCACTGCAAATATGAAAAATCATCACATTTTTGTATAATTAACTGCATCAAAACTTTTAATTTTAAAACACTGTAATTGATCATTTACAAGTTTATTACCCGTTTACAAATATAGATAAAAATACAGACAAATATAACTTTCCTTTATAATTATACAAAAAAAGTCTTTAGAATGACATTAATTAGTAAAAATATTGTAATATTACCAAACATACCTTATCTGGCGCTATATCAAACCATAAGTCAGTGGCTTCGTTCTTTTCCATGAAACGAAGATGATTCTGAAAAACAAATAATTAGATAAATTAGAAAAAAAAAAACACATTAAAAACATGAAATATTTTTCATAATATTTATGATATCTTTTAATTTGAAACAATACTTTGAGATAGTACTTACATCAGTGTTGTTAATAACTAAGAAGAAAGGTTTTATGACGACAACTTTGGTGAGGAGCATTTTCGACATTTCCACTTTCACGAAAAACTACAAAAAAGAACATCGAAAATTAGTAGTGCATAGTAATGCATAGCGTATATATATATATATATAATTCTTATATACATGTGTTTATCACTGAACTCCACCTAAACGGCTTGTTTGATGAAATTTTTTGCGTGTATTTAACAAAACATGGAGAATATTTTTATGCTATCCCCTTTGTTGTAAATTGCACCAGATGGTTCTGCAATATATCAATTGCAGTATATCTGCAATAGTTAGACCACTCGCTATGAAAATTGGTAATAATATGGATTCGAGTATGAAAATATGATTGCGCTATCCACTCTATTGTTATGTGCCACTAGATGGTGCTTCAGCATTTCTTCTTATATACCGTTCAAATGATATAGATAAAAATTATATATGTGCATATACTGGAACATGAAGAATATATTCACGATATGTAATTTTCTACAATGCTTTTTTTTTTTTTTTTTTGGCATTACAACGTATGCCGGGTTCTGCTAGTATATATAGATATATATATATAAACGTTATATATACATTTTATTTATTTATATACATATATACATGTATATATGTATATGAAGTTAAAATCAGTGTAACCCTTATATTATAGAAAGCATCTATTTAATTATTTGCAGATTATTTATCAGAAAAATTTCTATTTATCTGAAATGCTTTTTTTCAATGCAAATTTTTAATAAAATATTTAAGAAAAGAATTACAAAGTAAAACAAAGAGAATTTTATAATTTTGAAATAAAGAAGTTATTTTTCCCCATCTGAAATTAGGCATCATAAATATAATTACATACTTTTATCTTTATTTCATAACATCATAACTATAACTACAATAATTCTATTAATTTTTATTTAATTATTAAATTCTAAATTTTGTTTTTTATTTCCTAAAAAAAAATTCACATTATAAAAACACAATTTTTATTTATGGTTAAAAGTGTAGATAGGTTTAAGGTTCTGATAATTAATGCTTTTTTGTGTATATGAAAATTTCTAGTTTTGAATATTATTTAGTTTTATTTAGAAAATTTTCTTCAAAATATTAAACAACTTACGTGATATTTCTTATTTCGTTCTTTATCTACACAAATCACAACTCCGCAGTTACCCACTGTATCTAATGAAAATGACTTTGACCACTGAGAACTGTATACGCGTAGTTTAGCCTGAAAAAAAAAATGTTACATTTATACCAAGTATTTAAGATTAATTTCACATACACAGGCACATTAATTACACAAAACTTACATATAATATAAAACTATACATAAATCAAAAATAAATTTTCTTGTCCCACCTATTTGAAACAAAAGTGCTTAATATATTTAGATTTACCTAGTAAGATATTCTCGAAAAAATGCCCATTGTCTTAGAAACAAGTAATATAAAAAAAAATGTAAAAGTCAATTCACTATATTGCAAAAAGTCCTTTATAAATAATTTGCATTCATTTTTTTAAGTTTATCTGGCGCCATCTATTGATAGATGTATGCAACTTAAATCTAAAAAAAACTAAAATTAATTAATTAAATTTAATTAATGAATTAATATTTGAAAAAATTGTATTAACATCAAGTGTCAGCCACTACAAGTTTCAAAAAATGTATTTGAACTTGAGTGGATGAATAAAAAGTATTTTATGAACGATTGAAAATTTGAACAAGATATATATATAGGGAGAGTGTGAGCTAATAGAAGGGATTGAAAAAGTGAATTATCAAATGTTGAAATAATAAGATGTTTTTGATTAGGAAAATAATTATGAAGAGTATTCATTTATTGAGAATGAAATAATGTAAATTGTATTAAGAATAATATATAACCTTCTTCTTGCGATGCTTTTTGAAGCGGAATAGTACAGGATCTGTACTGGAAGTGGCTTCATATACAGCATCAGAAAGAGATCCCTATAAAAGGAGACAAGAAATACATTATAAAGAGCAAGAAAAATCATTATTTAATTAAATGAAAAATAATATCAAAATATCAAGATGTGTGTTCTTTAAGCCTAACTTAAAAAGTTACAAAATTTTTCGCTGAATTCTCTATTCTTACATTTGAAGTGTAATCAAAAATTTCGAAAAAAAAAATTGTCACAATTTATTTTTTAAATAAACAAAAAAAAAAAAAAAACTTATTTTGTGTCTAACGCCATCTGGTGGTATGATCGCTTAATCTGTAATTTTATTATTTGTTTTAAGAAATCTTCTTGAAATTAATATGGTAATTGTTTTAAGTTTATGCAACTACGTTCTTTTTAATAAGCTTTTATTAGTTTCCATTGTATGTTTGTTTGTAACTGACTCTTTGGGCTCGATATTGCCCTACTTTAAGCGATCAGATTTCATTTAAACGTTGTAAACTTATGAAAATATTTTATTGTCGTCGGTCCTAGATAAGTTTATTATCTCATCATGATTAGGATCGCTAGGATTAGTGATAAAGAGCAATTTAATCCGTGTAGAATGAATGTACCTAAGACATTCAAACCTACGTGCGATAGTGGCACAACGGATAATGCGCCTGACTAGGGATCAGGAGATTCCCTGTTCGAATTCTGGCTAGCTCGACATATTCGCATTTAGCCTTTGTTTCACTCACAATTAAATTATTGTAAGAACTATAGTTCCAGTCCTCCGTACCGGAAACTCATTTAAATATTATAGTTTAAAAACACTAAAAAAACACTTTTAGAGTTAATCAAACTAAAAAGTAAAAAAGAAATCATAGTTTAAAAAAACTAAAAAACACCATACAAAGCACCCCACGCTTTTAGAACAGTGACACTCATTTTCTCGTCAGTCACTTTATTCTTATGTTAACAATTATTTTTTACTTTTTAATTTGATTAACTCTAAAAGCGTGTTTTTTAGTTAAACTATAATTTATTTTAAAATATATTTCTGTTTTTTTCAAATGTTTAATGATATACAATTATTCATATTTTTTTTCTAAATTCTTTTTATTGAAAATTAATTATTAAAATGATTTTTCCTTAACAATTTTCCAAACGATAATTTACACTTTGCACAGCCCGGCTCGTGGCTCAGTGGCAAAGAGCGCCACTAGTGAATATCAGTTGGAGGTTCAATCCATTGGCGGCTTCGTTGTTGACACTGTTTCAAAAAACGAGGAGCCTCAATGGCGTTTGTGATGTTCAGCATCTTGCCTCGTCAATCGGATCACCCATCTGATAGGAATTTTCTGAGTTTTCTCTCATACGATATTGGGTAGTAAATGATATAATAGTCCTCCCAGAAAGCATTGCCCTCCTTCTTGAGCGAAACGGAGCCAAGTCAGACTTGTACCTACGAGTGCTCCATCGCAGAAGCCGCCCCTTTCCCACCATCCATCAGTGTATTACTCATAGGATGCCCGTGCGCAGTGCAGGAAACTGAGGATTACAGTTTTCCGGGTTTTCTCCCATTCGCTATGCATACGATAGCCTTCCGGGAACTATCGTCTGGGAGACCCTTCTTCTTCAGCATCACAGAGTCAAGTCAGACTTCTACCTAAGGATGCTCCATCACAACAGAAGCTGCCCCTTTCCCTCCTTCCATGAGACCATGCGGGTTCTTGGACTTGGTCTAGATGTTGCTGTTTACCAAGTGGGATAAGAAATAATTAAAAAAAACCTAATTCTTACCGATATTTTTTTCCTAATAAAACTTACCAAAACGAACAATATTTTATTTTATATAACAACTCAATTGCTATCTGTATAACAGCTCAATGGCTATCTGTTAGTATTGCTATCTGTATAACAGCTCAATTGCTATCTGTTAATTACTTGCAAAAATGGATCCCAAATACTAAAATTAAATGGAATGGTATTATAAATAGATATTTACCCTAAACTGCAGTGGCAAACCCGTTTTATTGATAATCCAGTATGGAGAAAATAGGTAAAGATCTATGCTTCTGTCTCGAGTCACGTGAACATGTAAAGCCAGGTGTCTATTTCCACCTCCAGTGTCTGTTTCAGGGCTCATGCTAACTGGATGAAGCTCTTCAGTGTCGCCGCTAACAGACATTTTGCCATGCCACTGGAGACCAATGTATTGGCCAACCTGAAAGTGTTTTATACAACAAATCATGACAGGTCCATATTTTAGCAAAACAACAATAACTTACATGCTAGAGATGTAAAAAAAATGATTAAAATATTTTGATATAGAAAAAAAAAATAAACTATACTTCTAAAGAAACTTCTTGAGCTTTACGTGGATCAAAATCGAAGAATACTTCGCTGTCCCCTTCTTTCAACCGCATCGTTCGATCCTTGTTCTTAATAATAAAAAAGAACAAAGAATGATTAAATATGTTAATTATTATGTTGATTAAATATGTTAATGTACCAACATTTGGAGCGATTGGCATCAATCAATACATGCCAATCGCTCCAAAAAAAAAACTCTTCTACCACCACCATTTGCAAGGTACAATGTATCTACTGACTGGGCCATTTTTAGTACGTGATATAATTTTCTTTAATACAAATATGCCAATGATGTGGTTAATAAAAACAAATAGATATAGTATTTTAAAATATAGTACTTGTATTGATTGTTACTTATAAAGTTGATTGAAAAGGAAACATTCGTGTTACCTTAACATGGATGTCAATAGGTAAAGGCAATAAATTATGGAAGACGAGTGGTGGACATAGATGCAGTAAAAAGTTGGGTACAAGTTTCGTTCCAACTGATGGCGTTTTTAAATCCCTGTTTTCTTCACAAACAACCTGAAATATAAAAATATATCCTATGACTCAGATTAAGAAAATATTTCCATGTTGATTTAAATACGAACGCTTTAAATTTTAAAAATTCAGCTATTATCATAATTCTTGAGCAAGTGCTTGAATTTTTTTAAGTTACGGAATAAACGGAAGGCAGAATAAAAGGGACCTGATGGCTAGTTCTCTGGCGCTCGGTGCTACAGGATGCGAATTCAACTCCAAGCGGTACCATAGATGTTTGCAGTGGTTCGGAATCTACTTTAAATCGTAGTTTGCTGTCTAATATGACTGTTGGGCGCAGGGATGATAAACCTACCCCGTAAAAAGAAATCATCTCATATCTCGAATTCTGTAGTAGGCAGATGGTCGTGGCCATCAAGCGGCTGTTGCGCCAATAAATAAGATGAAGTCGGAATAATCATATACATGCCTATTTCAATAAATAAAATGCTTTGTATTTCCTTTATTGCGGTTTCGAATGTAGCTTCAAAATATTTCGAAACATTCTTATCTGTGTCTTTTTAAATATTAAATATTTAATAAAAATTGCTAGTAAATTTTCAGAAACTGCATTTTTAACGTCCTTTTTCAATGAAACTTTTACTACGTTTCATATTCATAATAAAATGTTCAAATTTCCCATTATATAATAAATAAACTGTAATTTATCTAAATATAATTAAATATTCCGTTTTTCTAATAAATATTTATTATTGAAATAATAGCTTCAATTCAATAAAGACGTTAACTATTTTTAATGCAAGTGATTTGCAGAATTCCATACTCAAAAATTAATTATGCAAAACTTAAACTGTTGAACTATAATATGCATTTAAGTTATTATAGATAATTTAATTTCAGTTTTAAATTAAATTAATCAGAAATTTAACTTACCTTGGCACACGTTAACTCCTCCGAGTCATTTTCGGCATGACATTCCAAAAACGTGCTGCTTTTTTGTGGAACAGTCATATCTTTCCACCAAATACCTTCTGTACTAAGTCCATACCTGAGAAAATAAAAAAGTAGCAATTAATTAACAGAAACAATCAGGCACCATTCTGTTCATATGGAGTAGTATTACACGGATTATTTTCTGAAAAATATTGATATAAAAATATAATTTGATATGAATATTTTTTATATTTGAAAATATAAAAATATTATTTGATTTGTACACACGTAATTCTTACTTTAAAAATCTATGTTACATAACGTTCGCGCTACTTTTTTTGTCAAAAAAATATTGCAGATTTTGTTGCAAAAATGTTGCAACATTTGATAATATTCAATAAGCAATACATACCAAGTGGCCTAATACAGATACGAATTATAATTTGATATTATGTCTTACTATACCAAAAAAAAAAATTCAGTTCAGGTTTGAGTGTATTATTGATATTCAAGAATATTTAATAAATCACAAAATTTTAAAACTAAGACTGTATTGTTTCAAACTAAACAACATTAATATATATTTTTTGAATAAAATATTTCGATACAAACATTTCACAAAATTTGTGCTTTTTATTTACAAGCCATATTATGCCTTTTATCTCTTATGGAGAAAAGACAAAGGTAAATAATTTGACTTATCTTTTACCTTAAAATTAAAATTTGATTTAACGTAAATATTATATATTTCTTTCCGTTTTTAGCTTCGATTGTCAACATTGCAGCAGCATCGCTTAATAATAAACAAATCGCAAATATACAAACAAATACAATATATAAACAAATCTCATTTATATATACTTGTCGTGAGATTCAATGTCGAAATCGCCTGGCAGCAATAAAAACGCATTTTCTGGCAACAACAAGTGAATGCAAATCAATGCAATGAAAGATGTAACCCACACTCTGTGTTATCCGTCAATTACCTTAGTGGTCACTGATTCTCTGATTAAACTTATTGTTATTAATAATGATGAATTATGTGCTTAGAACTACACTAACAATTCATTTTCCCCGCATTTTGTCGTCTCTCACTAGATCGATCGTTGCTTCTTGACACTGTGTTTTAACTATTTCTGTCTACATCTTGAAAAAGTGGCCACCCTGCAAACCAGATAGGACGTGATCCATCAATTTGAATCACCATGTGCTTTCTTTAACCCAATTGCACATCATGTCCCAAATGACATATACGAAGTATACTATATATACGAGGTATGGGGACAGACAAAATAAGAAGACGGAATCAAATTCGAATGAAAATCATGCCCAATATTCATAACCAGGATGCGTTTCCAAACACTGGAGCCCTTCCTATTCATTCATTAGGCTCCAAAATTCTACCATTTGCTTGTGATATTCAACAAGTATATTGACTTACGAAATTTTGTTATGATCAGATTAACTTCTTAAGAGTTTTTCTTTGTCTTACAGTGTATGTATCTTTAAAATACTTACAATATTAAACCATCTGAAAACAGTAAAGTAGATAATAACATTCAAATTTGTTATTAAGTATACTTACTCTTTGCAGTCGACTTCAGTTGGTAGTGGTCTGATGTACAACTTGCAGTGGTAAGCAACAAGTAGAGGAAGGTCGTACGTATCATCTGACTGCAAAGTAGTCAAACGCACAAATTTATCTTGGAAAGGATTTTTAGAATAATCTTCTGGATTTGCACCAGCTGATTCTAAAGCAGCTTTCTCGCACAGTATATGGACAGGACGTCCCAAGTGATTCTGTATCTGTAACACAAAATTAATACTGGTACACATGTATAAAGTAACGTGCTTTACCTAAAAAAGGGTTTGCCGGCCCTCATTCAAACTGATTTTACATAAATAATGGAAATCTCAATACACTAGTGTATTATATAACAATTAA